TCCGTTCGATCTGACCGGAGCGTCCGGTCACCCTAAGCTGTGCCTAGTGAAGGGGTACAATGGCTCTATTTTCGTGGGGACTATAAATAGAAGGGTGTCTCGGCCATGGCTGTAGCTAAGCACCTTGGGGGACTTTGTGTCCATGCTTGAGAGTGCTTAGGAGCCCTCCATCTCACATATGCTTGATAGTGATCATCTGATTATGTGAGAGAACGATTCTAGTGCGATTGCATCGTGAGATTGCATCAAGTGGTACTAGGTGATCGAGTTGCAAGCCGGTGGTGCTTGTTACTCTTGGAGGTTGCCATCTCCTAGACGACTTGGTGGTGGTCTCCGTCGAAGCCCGCAAGAAGCTTGTGTGGTGCTCCAAAGAAGAGCTTTGTGAGGGGTATTGTTCTACCCTCACTTTCGGGGTAGGTTCTTGCGGTGCCCGACGTGCGGGCTTGGCGGGTGATGCCAATTAGCCGCCGAACCACCAAGTGAGCGGTCGACACAACGGGGACTAGCGTGTTGGCAAGCACGTGAACCTCGGGAGAAAAATTATCGTGTCAACTTTGTTCTTCCCATTGGTTTGCAATCCCCTTACACAAGCTTGTAATTACTTTTATATACATTGTGCTTGTGTAGTTGCTCTTGAAATTAGTTAGCTTGTGGAGCTCACAGTTACCTTCTTGCTTGTGTAGCATAGAAGTAGCTCTCTTGCGTGGCTAATTTGGTTTGTGTAACCTTGTTAGTCATATTGCTTAGTTTATGTAGCTAAGTATTTGCGCTCTCTAATTTGGCATTGGTTGCCTTGTTATTGAGCATTGCTAGTGAGCTTAGGAGCTTTGTGCTTTTGCTTACTAGCATGTGTAGGAGCTCCCTCGTTACTTAAAGTACTAGTGGCATAGGTTTGTGTGACCTTGCTTCTAGAATTGGTTAGGTGAGCTCTAGCTAGCCCAGCACCTTAATTGCTTAACTAGGATCTTTGCAAGGTGCTAGAGAACATAGATAGAGGGGTGTAGTCTTGGCTAGACCGATAGATTTAATTCCGTACTTATTTTGGTTAGCCGGCGCGATTAAGTTTTAGTAACGACTATTCCCCCCCCTCTAGTCGCCATCTCGACCTTACAGACACTCTCGTTGAGTCCTTTATAGTCCACTCCCCGTTTGTAGAACAAGTAGAACCCGGTTGCGAAGGGAGTCAAGCTTTGTTCTTGATCTTCCTTAGTAATGTTCCTTATGCATAGATACAGAGTTGGTTATGCTATAGATGAAAGTATAAATACTAGAGTGTACAAAAGATTTAGTAAATAAGAAATGACTTAGGAATCTTTTCTCTTAATTAATCTCCTGCCTAGCCATACTACATTTATGAGTATCTATTCCTATCTCTGGATTATTATCAATACCTTACACTTATCATTTATTATCATTTGGCTTACCCCTGTTAAAGCATGAGAGTTGATGATCTTATCATAAGTATGCATATTTGTCAATATCTCTAGCCACTCCATCGCTCCTCCCTATGGTAAAATATAAATAACGATACCTGGTATACTCCCGGGTGAAATGCTATAATGGTATATTATATGTGCGTTTGTGGATATTTAATATATATATATATACAAGTGTTCTCAATAATTATCAACAACGCATTTCTGCCATCATTGCTAGGGATGACAATTTAATAAAGAGTGATGCTAAGAAATGCCAACAGTGATTTGTATCCATGTAATCTTAATGATGCTAAGCACTTGGAATCTTGGTGACTCTCCATCAATGTCACCCTACGAGCATAGTGGGGATAGCATATCCTTTGTTATGCTCCAATGTGGATTAGGGGTTTCCCCCTCTTGTTGACTCTCCAATCAATGTCACCCTACGAGCATAGTGGGGATAGCAACAGATGCCACAGGATACGTTGTGAGTCTCATGGGTTTCCCCCTCTTGACTTGGTCTCCTTACGTACAACATTTATGTTTCTGCATGTTCTTGGCTATGCGCCTTTACCTTTCCTATATTAACTTAGGCCCGTTGGTATAATTGGTTCTATGTTGCAAAACTCTTGGCGGGGTTTGGTAAGTAGAGAATATTAGAAAATCATAAGTGCACATCTTGCAAGTTAGATTATTTTTTTGAAGTTTGAAATCAATTAAGTAGAGCCCTCGGCTAAGATTTTACCGACATATTTCACCCAGCCCTCCCCCTCATGGATCAGCCTCAAGTTTCGTACAACTACCAAATCAAGCTAGCAACTCATGTCGTACATGCCAATGGTAGATGCAAATACTAGAATCTGACTCATATGCTACTTGTCTATATATTTTTAGTATATGCCACATAAAGTGCCTTGAGTTTACCTTTGAAAAATAAATGGCATGAATAGACCAAATCCTTATGGAAATTAGTAACTAAAAATTTGTGGAATCCTTTACATTAAGTGATACTTAATTGGTGATTGATGGATTAAATGTATATTATAGCCCTATGGATTTCACCCCTAGGAAAGCATGGGCATGCTTCCTAGTTTATACCAATTGAGTCTATTGTAACATATTCTCTTTGATGAAAGTTTTTAAAAAACAAAAATATTTGATGAAAACCTGATAGCTAGTATGAATGAACAATTTCATAGGGTGTTTGATCATTTGATATTTGTGAAATCCAATGATGCAATGAATTGTAACAGAGCAAACACTAGCACAACATACATTTTCAAATATCGGGAAAAAAGTTGGTCACATTGTCTGCCTGTGAAGCTTGATTTCCACATACCACATATGTGTTTTTACCTCCAACTAGTAATGGATATATCACCCATGGTAGATCAGAGGGGTAACACACGAGACACAGACTTATATTGGTTCAAGCATAAGTGTCCAATGTTTAGTGTATAATGATGCTTTTATTGCTTGTGTGCGGTATACTTGGGTTGGTTATGAGTAGCGGATCACAACTAACGCCTATTGGTTGTTGCTATGGGTTGAGGTTTTGATCCCTCCTTATATAGTCCAAGAGGTAGGGTTACAAAAAGAGTCATGATCGCTTTAGAGGTCGGTTTCATTGTCGGTTACAACAGAGGGAGTCAATTTCTATGTATATCTTGCCTATGCCTTATCGTCCAAGTCAGCAAGGAACCTCTGGGTTGGATTTGTCCTAGGCCAGGCACCCTACAAACCACCTCCTAGTAGGCCAGTTATAGCCTTGGTGAGGGTACCGGGGCCCATGTAGTCGATAGTAGCCCTGAACCTCTCTGCGTTTTGGAGAATCTGATAGAGGTTTAGTTATAGTTGAAGTCCAAATGCGAGTGCTTTATGTGTTTGAGTGCTCTGTGTGCATCATGTCATAAAGATCAAGTGTTTTTTTGGTCATAGTTCGCCAGATTCATGCAAGCAGACCCGGTGGGTCTAGCTCCCGAGCTTCGATCAATTTGAAGAATCAGTCGAGGCTAAACTTGAAGCCATTCTTTTCTTCTAATCCTTGAGAAAGTGACAAGCACACTTAGTGGGCATGGTATGAACAACTTGGGTGAGCCCAGTGGTGGTGTGCCCGAGTGATCATAGCTGGTGGTGGTGTGACTGACATGGGTGACCCTGGTGATGGCATGCTACATTAGTTGAACCTAGTGACATAGTCGGCAGTGACATGGCAAACTCGGGTGAGCCCTAGTAGACATGATCGGCGATATTGTCAGCAACAGCGTGACCAACTTTGGTGAGCCCAATGGTGGCATGCCCGAGTGGTCGTGGTCGACGATGTCGCTGGTGGAGTGGTGGTGGCATGACTGACACAGGTGATCCCGACGACATTATAAGCCGCGGGGCATGGCGTCATGATCGCATCGGCTTATCAAAGTGTATCCTGAAAGGTGAGGACAAAACAATTACTAGGCACTTATGCAATATTCTGAATAAGATAAACACATCAAAAAGAAGAGGTTGTTTTTTATTTGTAAATTGTGCATTGTAATATATACTTTACTGACTGGATTGTAGCCCCCCTATGTAAGGAGCTAGCGCTGTCCTATGTCTTGTGTAGCATTGGGTTCATGGAGGCATAAGTTGTGGAGAACAAAGTTTAACACTCTCGGAACATATGTTACTGTGTCCAAGTTACCCTAAAATCCTTTTTAGTAGATGCAATGTTTTATGGAAGGCCTTATAATAATCTACATTTGAAGTATAAAAGGTAACGCTAGAATGTGCACATCATGTGTACCCCCGATCGATGGCAAATTATGTAACGCGGTCTATAGTTTTCTTATAAACTAATAAAGGTATCAAACCTTACTATATACTTATAAAGGATCCTCCTTACCTTATTCCCTCTCATTAGTAGGCCTCATCTCACAATATAATGCCTTTCTGTAATGGACTAATGGTAATCATTTGGCGACCTTGTCGCTGTGACTAAATAAGAACAGTCAACCGTATATCATGCCTTCTTTTTGAGGACGTAAGGCGTAATTTGTTTGAGCAATATATCTCCAAAGATTTGATGTTGTCAAAAATTTTATCGTGCGCATACATAGCAACTAGCAAATACAATGCTAAAGCATTTTTAGTTATTATACTTCTCCGTAGTACTAGTGTAGTTGTATAATTTCTAGTATACACTAAAACTTGCTTATAAATTTGAATAAGTATGCTAGGTTTTATGAAGGCGAAAAAAGGGGCTAATATTTACTAGACGCAATAATGAGCGTAGCTAGAGAGCAGGCTTTGAAACCTCCTCCATCGGTGGAATGGAAGGTGAGGATCACGAAGAAGCAGGTGCGGCTAGACAAAATCACGTGAGACGATACGCATTCGCAGGCAGCTTATAGAAACTTGGGAACTGAAACGATTACTTGCCAAGCTCAGAACGGCCGGCGATCCAGCCATGACGACAATTACTCGCCCCTGGATTTACTCCCTTCTAATTGCCCCGTCGTGGTCCACCGCCCTGCTGCTGCCCTGCTGCTCCCATCTGCTGCTGCCGCCGCCGCCGCCGGTAAAGTCTTCTCGGGGCCGGGCAACATGAGGCTCCGGCGAGGGCCGCCGTTGGTCAAAATGGCCCTAGCCGTCTTAGCCGCCGTGCTCGCTTCCATGGCGCCCGCCGTGCCTCGAGGTCGCTGCGACGACGCTGCGAGGTCCGTGGTGGCCAGAAGCATCTTCGTCAACCGGAAGGGCGGCGCCGACTTCACGTCCGTCCAGGACGCCGTCGACTCTGTCCCGTTCGGCAACGGCCAGTGGATCCGAGTTCACGTCGCCGCCGGCGTGTACAAGTAAGTAATCCATGCAGTGCGTCGCTTGCTGCATTGTGTAGTTCGATCGAGTGCAACTTGTATTGTTCAAACTTCAGAGTATGGATGGATCTCGACCCTGCGCTTTAATGAAGAGCGTGAAAGGTTTTAGTTTTAGTGTCTCCAATCCAGATTCACTCCATTTCCCCGCCCAACTTTCAGTTACTTATCTCGCTCGTCTAAGAAGAAAGATTTCTCAACAGGCGGTTTCAGGCACAGATGCACAGTAATGGAGTAGTAGTGGAGCTAATTTTGTGTCTGTTTTTTTGTTGGTCACGATGCATGATGCACCAAGTGAGAAGGTGATGATACCGCAGAACAAGAGCTTCATCCTGCTGGAAGGCGAGGGGTGGCAGCAGACGTCGATCGAATGGGCGGACCACGCCGGCGGGGACTCGAGCACCGCCGCCTCGCCGACGTTCGCCGCCTACTCAGCCGACTTCATGGCCCGTGATATCACCTTCAAGAACACGTACAACGGGGCCGGGACGATGATCGCGCCGGCGGTGGCGGCGCTGGTGGCGGGCGACTGGTCGTCCTTCTACCGGTGCGGCTTCGTGAGCGTGCAGGACACGCTGAGCGACATCGAGGGGCGGCACTACTACGAGGGCTGCTACATCGAGGGCGCCATGGACTTCATCTTCGGCAACGGCCAGTCCATCTTCCAGGGGTGCGAGATATGGACGGCCCGGACGCCGGTGTGGCCCGGCTTCATCACGGCGCAGGGCCGGATGAGCGAGGCGGGCTCGAGCGGCTTCGTCTTCAAGGGGTGCACGGTGAGGGGCGTCACGCGCACGCCGGCGTACCTGGGACGCGCGTGGCGCCGCTACGCCAGGGTCATCTTCTTCCAGACGGACATGTCCGGCGTCGTCGTCAGCCAGGGGTGGGACGCGTGGAACTACAAGGGCACAGAGTGAGTGGCCGTCTGGTTCATCTGTCTGTCTATCGGAGAGCCCTGCTGCTTGGCATTTTGCCAATCTGACTGACCGGTTAAATCTAATATAATCTGCAAACAGGGGCACGCTGACCATGGTGGAGGAAGGGTGCACGGGGCAGGGGTCCAACCGGACGGGCCGGGTGCCATGGACCAAGGACCTGAGCGGCGACGACCTCGCCAAGTTCGTCGACCTCTCCTACGTCTCTGCCGACGGTTGGCTCGACGCGCAGCCACGCTAGATTATATTCCTAGTCCGGCCAGCAATAACAATGTGACGATGCACAAAGTTATATACGCAAGTTTATTACGTACTTGTTGGGTTGTGCCAGACTTGGATGCACACACACAGGCAATGAAAATGATTACAGGCGTCCTTTGGCGATCTGTTGCGTACAAGGCGGAGGAAATTTGGATGGAAAAAAAAAAGAGAATGGTTTATGCAACCATCACAAATGGTGCGTCATGCGTGCATGTAGAAATGCAATTATCAACGAAAAAACCAGAGGGCTAGTATAAGAGATTTCATTTGAAGGGAAACTATTCTGGGGTGAAACAATAATGGAAGCATCCTTTCCAATACAATATGGCCTAACGGTTCATGGCAGGACAAAAATCAGGACTTGAATTTGCAGCTCAATACAAGAGACACAATCTAGTGCTGACTAGTGATGTTCCTCTTCCTCTCTCTCTCCTCTAGTTTCATCAACAATCACAACTTCTGCCTTTTTTGCAACTGCTCGATTTATGAAGTGTACAGACATACTTTATGCCTTGCAAAGAATGGCTCTATCTCACTTGGTGTACAGGACATCCTCCCATGGGTGACGGTAGAGCGGCTGCTTAAGCCTCTTCTGGTCGAAGGTGTGCCTGCGAATCAAAGTAGCACATTTTTTTTCAGAAAAGTGACTAGATGCAAAACAAATGGTCAAACTAGGAAAATATGTAAGTGCAACATAAGACCCAAACATTACAATCATTGCATAGCATAACCAAAGAGAAGCCAATTAACAACAGAATAGGACTCACCCGATCAGGCCAATTGAACGTGCAAGCACAAAGAGCCCATTAAGATAACCAATTTCCACAATCTCATCGATCTCCTGTTTGGTGAACATTCCACTTCCAGACAGAAGATCCAAGAAAAGTGACCCGATCGCACCATCGACATTCAGGACCAAATTGTTGGCTTTTGACAAGGTGTAGGTCTCAACCTGAGAGGCGTATTCCATGTACTTGACTGAAGGGAAATGTGTGTGAGCATATTTTTGTAGAAGCTGCACACGCTTATCCCTGTTGTCTCTGCTCTTAATCCTAATTGACACAGGCGAGTGAATTTTCTGTCTCACAAAACCATTTTCAAGTGCAAAGATTTTCTTTATGATTGACTCATGAAAAGGCTATGTATACCTGTGACCAATCCCAGGCACACGGATTCCCTTCTTTTTCATGCCTTCAACAAACTCGTATGGCGTGAGGTTCTGCAACCAATTGATAGACCCATTACAGTGATTAAACGATCTAAGAAACATGGAGATGCTAAAAACATAAAGGAGAATCTAAGTTGGCTCACCCTGTCATATGCATCTTTGAAGTATCGGGCCGCATCATCAATTGCTCCACCGAAACGGGGACCAATTGTCAATAATCCTGTGATAATAAAACTCCGTTTCAATGTTTCAGCCGTAAATATTGGTAATCTATGGAAAGGGTAGAAGTTTTGCATGTAGAAATCAAATAGCTCACCGGACACCAAGCTGGAAACAAGGTCCTTTCCAGCCCTAGCAGTAACTATAGAGTTATGAGCACCAGATACACAGGGACCATGGTCGGCACAAAGCATGATGCATATCTATGAGGCGCATGAAAAAAAATAGATTAAATGAACTCAGGATAGAAAACCATTGTTAGTCAGAATAATCAACAGCTACTACAGCCTGAACTCTGTAAAGAAGATATGGTATCAATGTCAGTATATCATATATACCCTAACTTACCTCAATAAACTGAGTGCAATAGCGAGGAAGGCTGCGCTTGAACCACAAAAGAGAGATAACATCACCAACTCCATAACCCTGTTCAACAATTGTAGACATAGGGACACCAGCATAGCATGGTTCCTCACCTGCATCACAAGCATGCACCCAATATTACTTCCTCAGCTCTGAGAGAGGGGGGAGACACATACAGATGAAAAAAAAAAACAGAGCATAAATAGAATAACATGGCACCAGCAACCTAACCTCTGTCATCAGAGATAGTGGAGATGATGTGGGTAGGAGCTCGGACCTTCCCACTCTTGATTGCGGTTTTAAGGTCCTCAGGAATGGACGGAGGTGTAAATTCAGTCACAGGAGAAATTTTTCCTTCCTCAACCTGTCAAATATATTTGAGCCTCAGAAACTTGATTCCCATACATTAGATTATTCAATACTAATGCTTAAAAGACAACAATGTAGCAAAACTCATCAACATACCAGTTTGTCAAATGCCTCCTTAATTGCACTTTCTAGAGCTTCATATGAAGTAGGCACAATTGCACCAGCTTCCCTTAGTGCCTGATTCTTAGCTTGTGCTGATTCCAACTCACCACCACTCTTGGCACCCTGTTCGTCCCAAGAAAAAAAGATCTCTGGATAGTAAATACACCATTCTTCTGACAGAAACCCGGAGGAGGGGGCGGGGGGGTCCAAGTAATTTTCCAAAACTTACAGCATGACCAAACTGCACTTCTGATTTGAATAGACGTGCACATGTCCCACTAACCCATGCAACGACTGGTTTCTGAACCTTTCCTTGTTTCAATGCATCGACAAGTGAATACTCGTCTTTTCCACCAAGCTCCCCAAGAACCACCATCATTTTAACCTGAAACCAACAAACATGGAATACAAGTTAGTACACCAATGCTCCAGGCTTCAGTTACAAATTGTAAACGTTGAACATCATGTTGAAAGCTTTCTTATGCTGAACAACCATTAAGTCATAAGATTTTATTTGTCGAATAAAAGGTGTGTAAGAGTATGGTACAGGAGTAGTCTTAATATATTATTAGAGTGTACATGCCATCACAGACAATTCACCATAAAGGTAAACGAAGAATATGCAATATGCATAACACTACAAGAAACTAACTATTTTTCACATATGGATCTAATACCCAGTGTGAATGTCAAACCTGTGGTATGTTATTAAAACGCAGAATGTGGTCTGACAGAGTTGATCCAGGGAAAACATCCCCTCCAATTGCAATTCCTGACCATTGAAAATAATAGTTAGTACAGATTCATCTGTGTGCGCTGAAAATATAAAATATTCACACAGCTGTGTTACCTTCATAAATACCATCGGTCACTCTGGCAATGGTGTTGTACATCTCATTTGACATGCCACCCTGAGGATGTAAATGAAATGTCAGTTTGTCATGGCCTATTTGGCGTTTGGGATGCATATGATCATCCAAAACTACACTCAGAATATACTCATGCAAATGAACATAAACTAGCCAATGAGTGAGCAATAGAAGAAACAGAAATTCAGCAATTCAACCTAAAAACTAATTGCATATGCATTTATATTTCCATATTCTAGCTAAACATAAATCCAAGGCTCATGCTCTTGCTGTTGTATGTAGACAAGCAAACCAAATAAACAAAGAATGGTACGAAGGCAATACCGATTTAGACACAAAACCAACAGATCCAGGCCTGTAAAGCTTGCACTGAATTATGTTGTCAATGGTTCCAGCGGTATCACCAATCTTGAAAGCACCAGCTTGAATTCCTCCAACTGTTGCAGGTCCAATGATGACCTTCAAACAATATTAAAACTGTTTACCAAAAATAAGGGACAATATGCAGGTGACAAGACATGGAGTGTGCCAATAGCAATATCTGGGATGAACCAGAAGCAATTTTTTTTTATAAACTTGTCTAGAAGGATATAATCCTTCATTGATATGAAGCTGTACTGTTTAGATGATAACTTGTAAATGAATCATCTGGTCTGAAAAAAACAGTTTGTTAAGCTTAGTCCTTACCTTGTTATTAGCACGTGCATAACTAATTAGCTGCTTTGCATCTGATTCAGGAACACCCTCAGCGATAATGGCTACAACCCTTATTGTTGGCTGCTTCAAAGCTGACATTGAAGAGGCAGCAGCACTGCAAAACCCTCAAATATAGTTAACATGTAGTTACTCAAGACCATGCGCTGTTTCACAAAAGAATAATTGAAATAATAGCTAACCTCCGGAAGGATGCAAAGTTGATAAATACATCAGCAGTTGGGTGTGCATTGCAGGCAGCTTCAATTCTACAAAAGATACACAAGTAAATACCAAGTTGTGCTAGCAATAGCATAGTCATCACCAAAGATAGAACAATTTTCTTGCCCAATGAAATGGCGGATACAAGGACCTACAGAACTTACGTAGGATGAACTGGAATAGCAATTTCCTCTTGTCCAAAGAAAAGTTTCTGAAAACCGTCAGAACCAGGATTGATTATTCCAGCAACAGAAGGTGTTTCTCTCCCTATAAAGGAACACAAAGTCGGTAAGGAATAAGTAAGTCAGGAATGCCATTCAACCATGTTAACCAAGAATGAAGAGTTGATGTGTACCACAGAGGAAGTCAAAATCAAGCATCCGTTGGATGGGAAGTTGCTTGTAGTTGTAGAATAGTGCTTGGGTAGTTTTCGAAAAAAGTTGGCCAGTCGCCATGATTTACTGCACCTGTAAAAAAATGAATTATATAATATGCTAAACAGAAAAGTTAGCGGGCAGACAATACAAAATCATAATTAATATTACTTCTGACAGTCCTTGTACATAAATTCCAGTGAACTACCAGAACCAAACTAATAGTGGGCTATCATAAATCCATCCCATTGCAATGAACAGCTACAAGATGAATCTCAAATGCGAGAAAATACAAAAACTAAAAGCTCTATAGCTAACTTACGTTAATTTCTTTGAATTCTTTTGCAGTAATCAATCATGCAGTATAGCTAATTCTACTTCTCATATCTCATAACCAGGTAGGTAAGGAATCTTTTACAATGATCTCAAACAAAGAATTACAGGCATAATTTATAGCGAACACAAAAAAAAATGTATTTACAGTCCTAAACTATAAACACTAATGCAAGGTGAATTAAATCCTATTATAATATGACCACATCAAGAAAATAATCAAATACAAAAGCATGAACAGGACACTCAGGGTGCGTTTGGCAGAGGGCTCCGGATTCTTGCAGAAATGTTTCAAATTCAGATTCTCTTAAGAAACGTTTCTGATGATGAATCGGAATCACTCTAGGAAATCATTTGGCTGGTAGATTCAGATTCTCTTAAAAAAAACATGTTCAAAAAAATTCTAAACTTTTTGTGGATGAAGAACAATTTAAATACAAAGCATTTTAACTTGTTGCACTAAAAAAATTAAGTGAAAAAAAGACCCAAAAAAGTAGGAAGCAATGAGATGAGAATCAATGCGAAACCAGCTTCCAACTGTTTCATGTGTATCAGCGTATGTAGAAATGGGTGAAACGTTTCGGTTCCGAATCACTTGCGGGAAAGACCGTTTGGAAGTGATTCACCCGATTCTCACAAGAAACTGAAGCGTTTCTTCTATCCAAATGCACCCCAGGTCCAGGTGTGAGCTTGTCTTCCAAAATCCACTTACACCAAATAAAACAGGAAGCTCGGCAACCCGCATAATACTGCTCAATATTCAGAAGCATACCATAAAGGAGCTGAAATCAAGGCAGAAAATCGGATCTCAAGTACAACATACAGAATACAGCTCAACATCCAAAAGTATACCATAAAGGAGCCAAAATCGAAGCAGAAAATCAGATCTCAAGTACAATAGACCAGCACGTTGCATTGGCATCATTGCCCAACTACTTCCATCATTCTTCAATGACAAAATCGAGCAAGTTATAGGGTACAACATCCAAGTCGTCCAAACCTCTTTGTTTCTCTAGCATCCTAGTCCAATATTGGTAAGGCTACTATTCCTGCTGTCCAAATCTGCTTTGTTTTTTTCCTAATAACATACGAGTCATTGAATTCAAATGCCCAGTAACCCATTCCTACAAGATCATGGACATCACTTGTAAACGAGCTAAACGATCATTAACAACGGACTAAGCCAGAATGAATATCGAAGTTAACTTCCCGAACACGACAAATTTAAACCCTCGCTAATTGTCGCTGCCAAAGCCACCAAACCCAACACTACCAGACCGCTAGGTCCCCTCAGATCCCTACAAAAACAGCACTCGGAAGTCCGAATCACCAGTATCCAACAAAACCCCACGACCCCTTGCACCACCGGGCAGCAATCGGACCAAACTCGCGCTATGGGATCACTTCCCGGCCAAATTCAGATCACAAGCGGCATGCAGGCAGCCCATTCCCGCCCGAACCCACTAAATCACACGCGAGGCGCGAGATCCACGAGCGATCCCGCCGACAGCGGCGCACGCGGATCCTCAGATCCGCGGCCCGGCGATCCGGGCCGCCGAGCGTTCGGCCTAATGCCGCAGAGAGCGAGAGCGGCAGCAGAAGCAGCGGGGGAGTGTGCATGCTGGGGTGTGGAAGCTGCGAACCTTACGGAGCGGGGGCGAAGCGAGGTGCGGCCGGAGGAGAGGGGACGCGGGAGCGGGATTTCGCCGGGAGATCAGTGGTGCGTCGCTGGGACGGGCGGAGCAGAGCAGAGCGGAAGCAGAGGGATTTATAGTGGCGGGTGGAGAATGGGGGCAGGTGAGGAGTAGCCGAGTAGGCGAGGCGAGCGACGCACTGCCCATCTACCCACGCCGCCGCGAGGACTGTCTGGACCGGGTCCATGAGCCGTAGGAATGGACTAGCCATTAGTACTTGGCACTCCGTATTTACTTGTCAAATGTACTTTTGTTTTAGCCAGCCACGTGTTTGAAAATGAGCATGCGGATTAAGGAATTTATCGTTTTCAAACTTGCAGCTGTATGTCTTTAGTGGTATATATATAAAAGGAGTTTGGCAATGCGATGGAATAAATAAAAGCAAACTCTAACACACGGTCGTGTGTTTGTGACATCGCGTGACCGCCGCTGGCATCGTCACCTTGGCCGGAGGCAGGCTAGGGTTTAGCTGTCTCCCCGGCTCTAGATCTCAGCGGCAGGTTGGCCCAGCAATGGGTGGTGGTGGGTGGGTGGGCGAGGTGGTGAAACGGCGCTGCCCGTGGTGGTGGAGGCGATGGTTTGGACGGAGCAAGAGCGGGGAGGTGTCTCGTCGGTGGCTGGTTGATGGAGGCGCTGGATTAGCGGAGGGCGGGGTCGACGGTCGGGGACGGAGGGCGGGCGGTGGTGGGAGGCGACAACGGGCGAGGTCGCGCGCTCGCATGGGAGCACGACCCGTCGCATGATAACTCTATCAAAATAAATGTTATGTGGCTTTTGACACAGTGCTAGTAGGTGTCTTCGATAGCACATGTACTCCCTCCGTCCTATAATACAATATATTCTAGAGAAGTTGGTAAATGACAAATAAAGAAGTAAGACTTACCAAATTTGTGCTACTATGTAATGCAAAACGGGACTGCAAGGAGATCATATTAATGGCTCGTTCCTTGCGCATTGCGATTATCTATGATATATATCAACTTTTGTGTTTACTCCAGCTGCTATACATACGTACATGATTCGATTTTATCAAACAATCCCTGAGTTGCCCGCAGCTTGCTGCAAATTGTTCATTCCTTATTCAGATCCTGTAGGGTTTTCAAGACAGTATGAGATTGATCACTCGATCATCAATGCAAGGACAAGGAGCTGAGTTTTAAGTTTTAATTTATTAGTGTGAAACACCGTACCTCTCTGCTTGGTCGTTCTTTAGTGCAGTGCAGCACGAATAATCAGATCGACCAGAGGCTGATCTGGTGAATCGAAAATATACCAACGTGTGAGCCTTTCACGTAACAATAATGAGAAGAAATCGATGTGCCATACCCATACCTGACGAAGTGAAAGTGATGTTTATACTCCTGATTAGGATTATGCTCGTGCATAGCAACAGGAACCGAGAATAACAACACGATAACTGAAGTAACATACGTCATATTGCTTAGAAAACTTCATGTTTTCGTCATGGATACAACTATAGTTTTGCATTACTATTTCTCATTTTCTCCAGCTTTTCCAAATTCCTTGCTCTAAGGAACCCTAGCTCGCCTATCTTCCACGAGCTAATGTATCTCTTATCTCTACAACTAAAAAGCATCAAAAGCAATTGTTTATCTAGCAAATCCATTCCCTTCCCAATAAGAAAAAATTTCTGACCATGAAAACACCCAATAAAAAATATTCCAGCACCCATGAGACCCATCCCTCCCTCGATAAAAAAACTCTCAGCCATGGAAATACTCGATAAAAATACTCCCGAGCGTGGAATAGAATCGTCCGAACCCCTACAGGCCCCATCCGATGAACCGCCCTGCCCATGCCACCGGGCGCCATGACACTGCACCATCCTCCTCGACCTACTCTGACACCTCCACGTCCTCCGACTATCGACAACCCACGGCATTCTCATGGCATTTTTTTTTCACACCACAATGCACGGGCATGATCCTAGTGGGGTAAAACAAATGAACAAACCTCCATTAACTGTAGAGAGACCTTATGTTTACCATATTTTGACCTAGTAGTAGACACAATGATAGGTACTTGTGTGATTGGTGCTTTGGGGAGTTATTAATTTGTCTAGAATACCTTATAATTTAGGATAAATTTTGAGGTCCCATTTGGTAGGTCTCAAGCTTTGGCTTATCAAACGGCCATAAAACACAGCTCCGTGCAAGGAGACCAAAGGAGCCAAAACCGTTTTTGTATAGAAGAGTTGGAGCCACAAAAAGTGGTTTCTCCTAGGTTCTCCTCACAAACTTAATGCAAATTATTATAAAACTACCACCATAGCTGTTTTTGTCGAACATTTTTTAAAACAGCTTCAGCTTCACTAGAGAAACCGCTTCACACGAAAAGCCACCGAGCCTTTTAAGGAGGAGCTGGAGCCCTACAAACAGGCCTTGAATGTTTCGATACTTTATATTTCAATGCGAAAGGAGTACTAAATGTAAAACATGCCAGCTTGTGATCAAAACTGGGCGAGGGTGAAGCTAGAAGACACATATATGTTTGAGTCTTTGGGAAGCAGTAGTTCCAAATAGCTCCGTCGTGCGACATCCTCTCCTACTTCCATCCTAGTCAATGTAGTCACATATTGAACTGCATAGTCCGACAAGAGTCCATGTGGAGTAAGGCATTAACAAGCGTGTCTCTACAAGTAATAAAAGATATGCATTTTTTCAGCCTAGTTCAAAGCACTTGTGTTCTCAGCTTAGGCAGACGCAGTTATTGATTTCATCCTTCGGGAGGCCAACGATTGGGTAGCAGCGGGCATGTCGGCCCTGTCACCACTAGTTGCTCGGGGAGCAAGCTAGTATAGCTCCTGCAGTCGCGAATTGGTTTTCAAAATGTAGAGCTACTTTGAGTCTTTCAACATGTTTGTTTGGTCGTATTTGACTTCTAAGCCATGGTTTATCAGTCAATGAATAATATTTTTCTCTCACAATAAACTAGTCAACAGTACTTTCAACCATGGCTTATCAGCCAAACAAACCCAAACGAACAAGACTTCTATGTTGTGTTTCCCTCATGTTCAGCATCACCAAATGTGGG